ATTGTACAGTTGGGTCCAAACTACAAGAGGAACCGTGTCAACCCAACAGGAACCGTGAATGGATTTTACATCTTGATGACAGATTTTTACTCTCCTCACAGAGAAATTCAACCTGCATCTGTCTGGAAACTTTCTGCATTAGGGATGCACGATATTGGATTTTTAGCCGATATCTGATATGCCAATATGTTAAAACTTATTTGGCCGATAACCAGTACCAATACGGAATTTATTATTATTATTTTTTCCTAGACCTGCTTACATAGAGTACATAGCTTTTTCTGTTGTGGAATTAAAATACTACATTATTCTGCATGGTCTTTATCAATTTGGCCTGTTCCCAAATACAGATGCCTAAAAAGGGGCTGACAGTGATGTAACACTTCAACTTGGATTATGTTTAATGTCAAATTTATTCATTACAGTTACTCTAACACAATGACAACACTCCAACAGTCATACAAAAACAGAGCCTGATATATTTATATATATATATATATATATATACATATATATATATATATATATATATATACATATATATATATATAACAGCACCTTTTATATTGAGTTATTTTGATGGAATGGCCAATGTCCGATATTTAACCTTATCGCTAGTATCGTCCGATACCATACCGATAATATCGTGCATCCCTCTTCTGTACTTTGGGTTGGCCCAGAACTAATCCGTTCACGTCTACTGGGTCATCCTTGATTCTTTCAGGTTCCGTTCATGTCAGTGTTGTACTGATTCTCCCGTGCTGCCGATAGTCGTGGTGCTGTTGATTGTGCCTTCAGATTGTTCTAGCCCGTCACCAGTAAAGCAGCCCACACCATGACACTTCTGTTACTTTGCTTTAAGGTTACACGTTTCTTAGTTCTGTCTTAGTGTGAGAAACAAAGAAAAGCTGTTTCTGCCCAGGCTTTAACCTGGTACTTTCTAATGAAAGCATATCTGAACTTTGAAGAAACCGATTCTCAGTGAAACTGGTGGAAAATAAAAGTTTTTATTTTTGTTTTGATGTTAATTTGTACTGACTACCTCAGAGGAGACAAGGGACTGCCCACCTAACTGCTGAGGAAATGTCCATGTAGGTGTGTCTCCACAAACACTCAGACTTTTGTAGTTTACTAGATGTCTTTTTCTTTTGTTTTATTATTTTTATTTTTTTGATGAAGTCTTCTGTGAATACTGTCAACTGTAAAAATGATGGACTCTGTTTCAACATTGTCTCATTCGTCTGGCCTCCGTTTGAAGGAAACAACTTCGAGGAACTTGAAGGTTGAAGTCATCACCGTTAGGAACGAACCAAGCTTCTTAATGTTTCCAACAAAGAACAGGCCAAAAATAACTACTACAGATACTCAGTTCTATTTTATTCATTAGTTCATTTTGGTTATGAACTAACATAACCAAAATGACCTGGTTTGAGTGTGAAAGATAGCAAGAAGTTATTTTTTCTAGTCATAGACGTGTCGAACAGGAGCGGGAGTCTTTGGGTTGACATCATGAGACCAGAAGGATCTGGAGCACACGTTGAGTCCTGTCAGACTGAATGTAACGACAGCAGAACAGAGCCCAGGTTTTCTTTCTGTAAACCAATGTCGAACTCTGTTCTGTTACTTTTGTTCAGATCCAATACCAGTAGAAACACAATGTTGACCACTTTTAACTTAGCTTTCTTTGAAACATTTCTATTGTTGTTAATAAACTAGTAAAACAAGGACGTTTTCTTACTGTCTGAAGATGAATATGAAATAAAGAAATGCTTTGATTCACACAGTTTTTGTGTTATAGTTGTGTTTTGAACAGATGATGTGGAGGTTTGCTACTAAAACAAACAAAAAAAGGATTTCAGAGGCTGGACAGATGGATGAGAGTTTGTTAGAACATAATATTTTGTTTATCTTGCAATGTGAAAATCCAGATGTCATGGCAGCAAGAAAGGAGTACAGAAAAAACAAGTAAAAAATTATTTACAAAAACAGTATGCACATATTGACTTCATGAAACAGAAGTGTCTTGTTTGTATTGCTCTTGGTCTTTTCCCCTCTTCAGGGTCACCACAGTGAGTCATCCTCCATCTCTCTGTCCTCCAACTACCTTCATGTCCTCTCTAACTGCATTCATATATCTCCTCTTTGTCTTTTTCCTGGCAGATGCATTTCTAACATGCTTCTACCAATATACCACTGTCTCTCCTCTGGACATGTCCAAACCATCTCAGTCTGGTCTCTCTAACTTTATCTCCCAGCTGTTCAACCTGTGCTGTACCTCTGATGATCTCATTCCTAATCTTCTCCATCCTTGTCACTCCTATGGAGAACCTCAACATCTTCATTTCTGCCACTTCCAGTTCTGTCTCCTGTCTTTTTGTCCATGTCTCTGTCTCCAGACCATACAACGTAGCTGCTCTCACCACTGTCTTGCAAACTTTTCCTTTAACCTTTGCTGACACTCTTGTCACAAATCTTTGGTGAAACTTTTCTCCATCCTGCCTAGACTCTTTTTCACCTCTTTACCACACTCCACATTTTCCTGGACAGTGGACCCAAGTACTTGGCACCTTTGTGACCTCTGCTCCTTGTAGCCTCACTGTTCCACCAGCGTTGTCCTCGTTCACACACGTCTTCTGTCATGAAACAGAAGAGTAGGCTACTGGGAAATATTTAGTACAGATGTAATTAAAATTCAAAAACAAGTACAGAACATTTTAATATGTCACTATTTATAAATGAGTTTTTATGTTTTTTTATTTTTATTTATGGAGTGGAAGATAATTGCCAAAAAAGATTCCCACCTGGATTTAATTAAGCAAATGGGTAAAGCCTCCCATTAGATAAATACTACTTATGTGATTATGTTTTACCTAGGCAAGTTATTTAACCCTAACTGATGCAGTGAGTAGCTTCATTCTCATTTGTTCAACAACCACGTGGAAAGACATATTGTGGTTGTAGAAAATATGTTAAATTATTGGTCAAATTATTGCCATATGCATCACGTCTAAGTCGGGACACCCTGGGACACCGACTTAGATGTGATCATGTTCACAGTAAGACGTATTTTGTCACTTCTTGTGACATTTGACATGTAGGAGGAGATGTATGAAGGCAACAGACCAAGGGTTTAAAGATGAAAATGTACCAGTGTGAGAGTCTGCCTCAAGTTAATGATGTCCAGTTAACCAGTGAGGGTGCAGTGAATGGGTATGGTAGTTACGGCCAGTTATGAATCTTTGCGCACCATGATAGCATATCATCTGCAAGGTGCTTGCAGGAGCATTCATGTAAATAATGTCACCGTAGTCAGTGGAGGGAATGTTGCAGTTACAAGGTGTATTCTAGCGTTCAGAGTTAGACAGGATCTATTTCTAAACAAGAAACCCAGTTTTATTTTCAATTTCTTTACCAAGTGTTCAACATTCGTTCAACTTTTATACAGGTTACTCCCATTGAGTATAACATGAAGCTTAAAACAGATGTGAATGGACCAAGATAGATACCCAAGTATTTGTAAGAATCGACAAACTCAATAGGAACAACGTTCATAGATGAGATGAGAGTGACTGCTGGTACCAACTTTCTGTTTGAAAACGACATCCCTGCAGTGTTTAGCACCAGTTTGAGATGGAACAAATCTGACTGGATGCTGTTGAATGCAGGCTGAAAAGCCTTAGCAACTGCTGTAGGTCGACAATAAACAACTGTATCGTCGGCATAGAAATGTAAGGATGCATCAGGAATGATGTGACCTACATTTATGTAGATTGTGAAGAGAGTGGGTCCTAAGACTGAGCCTTGTGGGACACAATTGTCGACAGATAGCTGGAATGAGTGCCATTATGTTGAACACATTGCCACATCTGAGATGGTTAGAGAACCAACCATTTGGTTTGAGAAACCAATTTCTAAGATGTCAAGATGTCATGGTCCACAGTGTCAAAGGCTTTAGACAGATCTAAATAAAGTGTAGCACAATAATCTTTAGCATGATCCAGTGCTTCAGCAGCTTTGTTAAAAACCTTCAACGAATTATTGTGCTGTTGTTTCCTGAAACCATTTATGCAGAGGTAAGATGTTAAAAGAATCCAAATACTTCTTGACTTGAGAGTTTATCAATTTTTCTACAACCTTAGGTAGACTTCAGAGTTTAGAGATTAGTCAATAGTTGTTCAGTATAGTGGGGTCTCCTTTCAGTAAAGGTAGAACAAAAGTTGTTTTCCAAGCGAATGGTATTTTTGCTTATAGAGAGATTAAAGATGTGAGATGTAATGATTACGAAAGTTTTAGTAAAATCTTGTGTTTATACGATGCTGTGCTAACACACACACAGAGACAAAAACAATAGCATTGGCAAAATCAATACTGTGGAACATCAAAATGCTGAAAATGAAATTAATAAATAAAGCATTATGAAATAAGAAAATTTTTCATTTTTATTCTTTTATTTCATAATTGTGTTTTCCATGATGGCTTATTTATTTCATAATTATGTTTTTCATGATAGCTTATATGTATTTCATAATGGCGTTTTTCATAACTGCTTATTAATTTCATAATGCCACTTTTCAGCAGAATGACTTCAGCTGTCAATCACCATCAGTGGGTTGGACCTGCACGCCCAATGGCTGATCCTTCACATCCATTAGTTTTCCTGAATATCTACATTATGAAATAAATAAGCTATCATGACAAACACAATTATGAAATAACATAATAAAAATGAAAATTGTTCCTATTTCATAATGGTTTATTTATTTATTTAATTTTGAGCTTGTTGGTGTTCCATACTCTATTTTTGCGTGTTATTCACGCTTCACGTCAGGTGGTGGCAGTAACTCATCAATCCGTTGTTTTATAACCGGCATTAAAGCAAAGAAGAAGAAGAAGAGTCTGACGACATTTACATCAACAAAGAAGAAGATCGCGAACACTCCGATATGCAGCTAAAGCCTGGTGTTTTTATTATTCCCGTGTGAATACTGTATTCAGTTTGGACACGTGATGCCAGGGGCTTATTCTCACAAAGTCAACCTGCCGAAATCCACCGAACCGGCTCACTGACTGCCTTAAATCAGCGGACAGATCGCTGAAATCTTCAGGTTTATTTATTTCCCGCGGTAGTTGTCCGTTAAGATTTTAGGAGGTGAAAGCCAGGATGTAAGAGCCTTTTCAAGCGTTTGGTCTCCATCTACGGTAAGGCAGAAATACTTGGATCTGATTTAACAGCAGCTAGCAGGCGGGGAGCCTTGCTATCACATCCTTGTAGCTGTACCAGGGTGTGATGGTTGGTGTATGCACAGTTAATTTATCTGAATGTGTTTCATCTGAATGTGAGTCTTGTTTGGAAGGAGCTAACTTAAAGTGAGTCAAAGGTCACAGCATCATCATGGTGGACACAAACATCAAAAACGTGTTACAGAGGTAGTTTTTATTCATAGACATGATTAAAAACCTGCCATAGTTTTACACCAAAACATTTTTGTGTTGAAAAATTACGCAGTTCTAGTCATTTTAATCGGCATTGAAAAGTTTGCTGTCATCTCACGGAATATCGCGAGATCTCGCGTGATTTGTTCGCTCAGGTCGTGTTGTGGATTAGAGGGCGTCCCGTCCCATTCCCATAGTAAAAAATCTTGTCCAATCCCAGGCCAGAGTAAAGAAATAAAATAAAATTAATGTCCTGGACCGCTCCCATTTTTTTCATTTAGTCTTGAGGAAATACATTGAAATTTGATATGATCTTCTACCCATTACTTTTTAGATTACTTTTGTTCTGCAGTTTTATTTCAAAAGATATGCCAACAGGAACAGTTGATCTGTGATAAAATAGGGAGGCATTTATCCCCTTTATCTAAACAAAAAAACTTCACTAAAGGGCTCAAAACATTATAATAAATGGCCTGTAGTCCCTAGCCACCTTGTTCCTACACCCCATGGTGCCTTGCATGAATTATGAGCACGACTTCCGGCCCAGACCAGAACTGGCATTTGTTTATGTGCGAACAGTACGAGCTAATATGATTTCTCCGAGCATTGTGGATCATTTAATTTAAACATGTAAGAGCACCACCTGTCAAAGCTCAAACAGCACAGTATAATCATACTGCTGCCTAGTGGGTACGAGGGATGGAGGACGACCTGAAGAAGTGGCTGCAGATTACATCTTCTAGCTTATTTAGCTACTTTATTAACTCGGTTGCTTCTGATGGTGAACAAGAACAACCTGAAAAGCTCTGAGGAGTATTAGTATAGTATCTACACAGTAATAAGGTTACTGGCATTTAGTTAAAAGAGATGGGATACAGTCCTATTTACCTTAAAGCAGACATAGAGCCCAGCCAAAGCCTTAAAGTCCTCCATCACCAAGCCTGGGTTAATTGCAGAGAAGTTTGTAACACCAAAGATGAACAAATACTATAATGCTGTGCCCTTCTTATACTTGAAATCATACCTGATATTCTTGTCACACTGTTTTCAATCTTTCTGGATTGATTCAGCGTTTTTTTCTCCGGTGGTTTATTGTAGCAAAGTAGGATGCAGGTTTTCCTCTGTTGGAACAAGTTAGGAGTCATCAGGACTCTGTATCACAGAGCAGACAGCATCCCCACATACTCAGGAGCCAGGCAGAAGGAGAAATCCCACACAAGACAGGCTCTAGAGCAATGTGGATATCCTAACTGGGCCTTCCTGAAAGCAGAGAAGAAACCCAAACAGGACTCCAGTCAGCCATCAGGTGAAAAGGAGGAACCCAGACCAGTGGTCATTCCATATGTTGAGGGAGTATCAGAGAAACTGAGACGTTTATTTTCTAAACATAACGTCTCAGTGGCTTTTAAACCCCAAAATACATTATGGCAAAGACTGGTTCATCCCAAAGATCCAGTCCCCCGGCACAAACAGAGTAATGTTGTGTATGCTGTTCAGTGTCAGGAGGGCTGTGATCAGTCTTACATCGGGGAAACTAAACAGCCACTGGCCAAAAGGATGGCCCAGCACAGAAGATCAACATCATCAGGTCAGGACTCTGCGGTCTACACTCATCTCCAGGCCAGCAGTCACTCTTTCAAGGATGAAGATGTTCACATCCTGGATAGAGAGGAACGATGGTTTGAGAGAGGAGTAAAGGAGGCCATCTTTGTTAAAAGAAACGCTCCATCATTAAACAGGAAGGTGCTATTTATAAGACTGAGTTTAGTGCAGCTCCTCAGGCTGACGAAGTCTTTTGAATAAGACAAAACATTTCAACAAGAAGAATCCATCCAGAGGACCTGACTTAACTTTGTTAGAACATTTTGATTGATTGGATGAGTCGGCAGAAAATGGGTTGTTCCAGGTCAACAGGAGCAGCTTGACTTTTCTTACAAGTTGAAACCACTGAGGATGAATGCTCCCTAGTGGCTGGCTGTGACATTTTCCAGACTAAAACATGAAAAACCCTTCAGATGGTTCAAATATGCAAAATAATTCAACATTCAAGCATATGTTTGGTTTTAATTAGTCTTCTAAGACTTTAGAAGAAGGATCATGTTCTGATCGACAGTGACTGACAGTTGATAGTTGGGTGGGTAGTCAGGACTTTTATATTGAGGGTACAACCTACTACTGATTACTTTTGAAGCCAACTTATTTTAACATGACCACTGCAGCCAAGGAATCTTAGTAAACAAACAAAAAAATTGGTATAATTTAGTTAATTTTACAAATACTGTACTGTCCAGACATTTGGTGTGTTCTTAGCTAAGTCAGTTACTATACAAACTTCAGGTTCTACTCATTGACACAGTTCACTGTTGTTTTGTTAGTCAAATATCTCAAACACCACCATCGACCAATCTCTAAACTCTGCATTTTAACCAAGGTTCTAGAAAAACTGATAAACTCTCAAATCAAAAATTACCTGGACTCATTTAACATCTTACCTCGTCATCAATCTGGTTTCAGGAAACAACACAGCACAACCACTGCTTCACTGAAGGTTATTAATGACGTTGTTGAAGCACTGGATGCTAAGGATTATTGTGCTGCACTTTTCTTAGACCTGTCTAAAGCTTTTGACACTGTGGATCATAACATCTTGTGTCATAAGCTCTCAGAAATCGGTTTCTCAGAACACACCATTGGTTGGTTCTCTATCTCTCAGACCGGAATGTGTTCAACGTAATGGTACTTCCTCCAGTTATTTAACAGTCAACAATGGTGTACCTCAAGGCTCAGTTTTAGGACCCACCCTCTTTACAATCTACATACGTAATGTTGGTAAAAACATCCCTAATGCATCCATACATTTCTATGCTGATGACACAGTTGTTTATTGTTGAGCTAAAACAGTTGCTAAGGCTTTCCAGCTTTTGAAATCTGCATTCAACATCATCCAGACAGATTTGTTCCACATCAAACTTGTCCTAAATGCCGACAAAACCAAAAAGATGCTTTTTTCAAACAGGAAGTCGGTCCCAGCAGTTCTTCCTCTGATTTCATCCTCAAATGGTGTCCCGATTGAGTTTGTTGATTCCTATAAATATTTGGGTATCTTGGTCGATTCGCATCTCTCTTTTAAGCTCCATGTGGAAAACTTGGTAAAGAAACTGAAAGTTAAACTGGGTTTCTTTTTCAGAAACAGATCCTGTCTAACCCTGAATGCTAGAAAACGCCTTGTATCTGTGACTTTCCTTCCCTCAGTTGATTATGGTGACATTATTTACATGAACGCTCCTACAAGAACCCTGCAGATGTTGGATGCTGTCTATCATGGTGCACTAAGATTCATAACTGGCTGTGATTATCGTACCCACCACTGCACCCTGTATTCACTGGTTAACTGGACATCATTAACTTCACGCAGACTCTCTCACTGGTACATTTTCATCTTTAAATCTCTTCTTGGTCTGTTGCCTTCATACATCTCCTCCTTCATGTCTCTGCGTGAGTGCAGCTACAGCGTGCACTCTCAGGACATTATTACCTGCAGTGTTCCCTCAGTGAGGACTGAACTTGGCAAAAGGGCCTTCTCCTACTCTGCTCCCATTTCCTGGAATATCTTACAAAAAGATCTGAAGCTCTCGACCTTGACCTCTCTAAGTGTCTTTAAGAACCTGTTGGACTCTCCTGGCAGGGACCAATGCAGACATGTTCCTGTTTTTAGTTTTCTGCAGTCGCCTTATAATCTAGCTGTTTTTTTTTTTTGTTACTTTTCTTTTTTTAGCCTTCCTATTTGTTAAAAAAAAAAAAAAGATCTGTATGACTTTTTATAACTGTTTATTGTTGTCGCTGTTGTGCATTGTTGAGGTTAGATGGCTTTACTTCATTTTTTCTCATTATGAGACAATCTCAGTCTGAAAGTCAGGCATGAAAAGTGGAGGGAGAAATGTTTGTTTTTCTTTAGACACAGAGCTTTTTAGTTGGTCTAAAGTGGTTCCTCTGGATCACAGCTGAAGTCTTGTTTGGACTACAGGATCCTGGAGGATTTCAGTCCAGCATGACTGAAAGAATAGATATTAGATATTTAAAGTAACTTCTTTGCATACTTTCACCAGTAAGTGAGCATGTTGGGGCTAAACCATTTGTTCTTCTGTATCCAGTGCCATGTCTCAGGGTTGTCTTGGAAAAAGACCTGTACTTCACTGCAAGAAGGAAAAGAGAACGATGGCAGAAATGAAGGCATCACCTCTTAAACATTTTGTCACAGCGAAGAAGAAGATCAATGGGATATTTGAACAGCTGGGGGCCTACATCAAGGAGAGTGCTGCCTTTCTGGAAGGTACAGTCTGGTTTTACACACATGGACCAGTGCTGAGCTGGGGGGAAAAGGAGCCGGTGCTCATAAGAGAAAAATGATAAATTTACTGTCTGTAATCTTGTAACACTGAATGCACACAGACCTGCAATTAAAACACATCGCCAAATATATAATGATTCTTTGATGATGAAAGAGTTTGTCTATGATGGTCTAAAATTCCCTTCCTGTGACCAAGACCAATACATTTACAGTTTACTCAAACTATCCATCCTCTGGCTAGCTGATAGTACCCCAGCTCTGCCTTTGATTCAGCCAATCATTGGTCCTCACGAGTCACTTATCTCCTAAATTTGACCCAATCGGAGGTGTTGCAGAATGAATCATGGCTTCCTGTTTTCAGCCACTGTCCTGTGGAAAATATGAGGTGAATGAATCTGCTGTAGCTCATTTGGTGATGCTGCTGCAGCAGTTACTGAGAAATGATAGTACACCAAGGATGAATGTTTAGAAGCACCGGTGAAATTCAAAATCGTTCAAGACAAAAACAACTGGACTTTATTTGTAACTTTTTTGACCATTTGTAACAAAAATAAAAAACCTTCCCACTTTCGGCACACACAATTCATGTAAAATTTAACAAGCTTGATACCTGCTTAGTTGACAGTATCATTCATTTTTATTAGATATATTTGTCAGATTTTGATCAGGTTAATAAAGTAACTGTATGAGAAAAGCAATTTGAGCAAGTGACTTGTGTCTTCTGCACTTGTTAGATACTTACCAGAATGAAGAGTTGAACCCAGTCACCACTGAGGAGCAGGTCCAGGAGGTCCAGGGTTACCTCATCAAAGTAGCAGGGATCGGAGAAGTGCTCGCTCGTCGACAAATGAAGGTGGTCTTCTTTGGAAGGTAATCTACTCCCATGTACCAGCGGTTGACTCTGGTAGTCTAACCCTAACCCTCTTCATGAAACAAGTGAACATTTTATCAGTTTGTTTTTTTTCTTGTGCAAAGCTCAGACACGGATATTAGGGCTGAGCCAGTTCAACGTTTATTTGAGAATTACAGGATGTAGAGTGATGAGAAAATGTCTTCAGAACTCCTAAACTTTTGCACATTACACAAGCTGCTGTGTTTACTGAGGACCAACACAATTCAGTGTAAAGTGGATGGAAAATTATGCATAGTTTTGAACATTATTTACAAATACAAATTTGAAAAGTGTGGTGTGCATTTGTACTCACCCCGCCCCCCAAATAAAAAAAATCAACACTTTTTAGAACTAAAACCACCTTTTGCTGAAAACAGCTGCAGCTCGGTCAGACTGGATCTTTTCGCAGATTCCCAGTTCATTTTATCACATGAATGAGCTTTGATCTGACCCACTCTTTTGTAGTTCTGGATTCTTTGGATTGTCCTGCTGGAAAGTGAACCTCCACCACAGTCAAGTCTTTTTCAGCTTCTAATAGGTTTTCTTTCAGGATTGTCCTGTATATCTATATACAGTACTCCAGCAGCTCTGACAGCTGCCCTATTCCTTCTGAAGAAATGCATTCCCACAGCATAATCCTGCCACCACCATGTTTCATGAGGCACTTTCACAAAACATTTCCTCAAAATGCGTGCAAAGACCAGCCCGTCTTTATGCTGCCTCTGGTCATTCATACATCACCGATAGAGCCAGCTGTTTTTGTGAGTGTTCAGAATTGAAGTGAGCATCCTCACAACAGAGAAGTGGAGCAGAACCCTGCTGATGTCCATCGTCTGAATCAAACAAAACATTTTACTGCTTTGAAACTTTTATACGTTTATAGATCTGGGGTGCCCAACCACTGGGACATGGAACTGTAATGGGCCTTGGGTCATTTGGTACCAGGTTGCATACAAAGAATAAAAAGTTATTCTTTTGGATTTTTTCTTCTATTTCCATTAGTCTGCACAGTGTTTTACTTTGAAAATCAATCACTTCCACCAGCGCACTGTTAGCGTTTGACTCGGTCACAGTTTTTTTCATGCACCGCTAAGCTCTCAAACTAACTGTAGCAAAAATGAGTAAAAATCGTTGCTGCAGAGCTTTTTTGAATAAATGATGATGAGACAGCAGAAGTCTCCACAACTGCCACCAAAAAAGAAAGTTGGATTCAAGAGAAAATACCAAGAGTCCGACTTAAATTATGCGTTCATGTCATCAGGTGAGTTGCACGCTCTGAGTGCACGCTGTGTGATATCTGGTGACCGGCTATCTAATGAAGCCCTGAAACTTTCAAACTGCTGTGTATTTGGCACAGAATGACCTTTATCTGACCTGAATACAATCTTTTTACCATTTTTCAAGTTTTCGACAAAAGGTGGGCCAAAAGGTAAAAAAAATAATAATTTAAATCATTACTGGTAGTTTGTTGGAAAGTTTGAAAATATTCACTGATTGGCTATGAGTTGTAAACTAGCACGTTTTTTCATGCCCCTTTAATGTCACTTTTTTTTTTTTTTTACTTTAAAAAATGACCATATAGTCCGAGTGTCTTCTTTCAGCTGTTTTCTCTTCGGTGTGAGGGTTAGAAGGAGTGATGGGCAAATGAAGCTTTCCTGAAGTACTGATGCTTGTTTTACAAAAGGGTTCATTACTCGAAGCTTTTCAAAAGTCCTCTTTCACGCCGTCTTGTTTACAAAATGATAAAGATCAGCTTGAAACCACAGCATGAAATGAGCTTCATCATGGTTGTCTAACTAATACCAGTTTGGAATGATGCTTGTGCTGCAGGTTTCCTGCCTCCATGACTTAATGTAATGAGCCAGTTTTTGTTTACTGTCTGATCATATTTTAATTTACAGACTTGTAGTGTTTTTCTACAGTTTATCTTTCTTTCTTGGGGTAAAGGTGCTTATGAACTGGGAAACCAAAGGCTGGCTCCATGTCTCACTGAATGTCATTCACTGTTCTTTTAAGTATTTTGTACAATTTGTGCCACCAAAACAGGAAACGAATCCTGTCAGTGATTAAATTCTTCAATCATAACCCTTTCAACCAGGTACCAAAGTAGTGACGTAGCTTCAGCACTATCCAAGTTTCTGATGTCTTTGATCATGTGACTTTTGCCGAACAAATCAATCTCCGACTCTTGTAACAAGTTTATTTTATTTTTTTATACCCGCTCTGAAGCGTCGGCTTTAAACAACGTATCACTAGTTAGAAGTGAAAATGGAGAGCCTAAATACAGGTGAAATATGTTTGTGATGAGAGCAGCAGTGATGCAAGCAGGTACTTTTAAGAACACGGGGTCAGAACCATTGGAACCAGCAGATTTATTTCATCCTGTAATTCTGGGATAGAGGAAAAACTTAATGGAAAAGCCAACATGGACAATGCTGATTAACAAACAGAACTGTGGTGAGATCAGCTGGAAACAAAGATTTAGCTGAATTACCAAAGTGCTGGTTGAGGGGTGAGGCCATGCATGGCTTATGGGTAATAAAATCATTAAATACCATAGAATTTGGCAGACAGGGAGAATAAAGTTTGGTTTTTATAGCCAATTGTTTTTCTGATCCCCGTGCATTAGAGCCACAGGTGGAGATGTTCTCCCTAAAGTGGGAGATCTTGGCGTTCCTGACTGTCCGTGTTGTTTTATGCCTACATTACCTGTAAACAAGATGGTTAATAGCAGACTGAGAGGATTGAGCTTGTCCCAGAGGACGATCAACGGGGGGACCAAGAGGAACAAGCTTTCCTCCAAAGGGCGATCAGAAGAGCTATATTGATTTTTGATCCTAAATTGCTGGGGGCATGTTTATTGATTATCTGGCTGAATGTGTTCTTGAAGCCTACTTCAACCAGGCATCCTCTACAGAAAGGATAGTTATTCTGTCCGAAGACTCCTTGCTAAGCCACGCCCATTTAACTTGAACAGGGTGTTTTAGTGTTGAACTCAAAGCAATGTCCTGAAGGTCCGTGCCTAAGCTGATAAAAATCTGAATTGCCATTTTGGTGTAAAACATTTAATAGTCCCTCCTATGGCTTAATGTATTAGTGAAATTTGGTCCTCTAATTCAAAGTTGAGTCCATCAACAGCAGTATGCATTTCATTGAAGAAGTTGATATTGCATAACTTGCAAGTTTTTAAAAACCTAAACTTGTCCACAAGGACCTGTGTTGAGTTTGGTATGTAGCTTTAACATGATGAGTTTCATGACCTTTAAACCTTCAAGAAGTCAAAAGTAGATTTTTCAAATGTGACAAAAGATTTTTAGGAGGATATGGGCGTGGCCTATATCATCTTATACAGTACAGTCTGGGGACGTGTAGAAATAGGACTTTTTGTGCTACTGACTGTTAACAACAAAAAATGTTGAATCATGTCATCTGGACTTCGTTTTTTTGTTAAAAAGAAACGTTTCGCCCCTCATCCAAGAGGCTTCGTCAGTCTGAGGCCTAGCCATCTGGTATTACCCAGAAGCCACCCTGACTATACCTGGATGACTGAGAAAACAAACTTTGTGTTACTGACTGTTAAATTACAGATAAAATGCACAAATCTGAACGATAGCGCCTCCTATAGATGGACATATCTGAGTATGTTTGTGAGCTGCATGTGCAGGCCCTACTTATCAACACTATGTAAATATTATTCTAAAACTCCTTGCAGTTTGGGCGCAGTATGATGTTAATTTATGGAACTAAAGGACAAAATAAAACTTGGATCAGTTTCAATCAGGACTCTATGCTTCGCTGAAAACATGAAAACATTCCTCTCCCTCTGCGAGCATGAATCACTAAAAATGAAGCAAGGTGGAATAGTTTAAGTATTCATTAAGTTATGACATTGTGTAAACTGTGACTAAAACTAGAATTCAATAATTTTCAAATCTCATAATCCCATATTATTCCTGATAGAATATGGTAAACATATTAACTGTTTAAACTAAGACTAAAAATGGAGCTAATGTGTTTTTTAAACTGCATTGTTGGTGATTCTTACTTCATCCAATAGGTTTTGGCCTTGGTTCTGCACAGTATTGGTCCTGAACAGTTTGTGAAAGTAGCGGTTGGGGCCCTGCACCTGCAGCTGCAGCGCCAAGTGTCACTAATGATGGAACAAATAATGAATGGACATAAGAAAGCTGTTTTTAGTCATGCCAATTACTTTTCCAGCCTTTTATTGCCTCTGACCTCATTCTTTTTGAGATGTTGCTGCCATTAATTGTAAAAATGCCTTAAAAAAAAAAAAGTTACACTTTCTTAGTGTAATTTTTTTCTATGAGTTTGAGATATTCAAGTCATTGATTTTAGTTTTTGTCATTTTAATTTAATTTTTAACATTTTACTCAATGTGCCAGCTTTAGAAAGTTGCAGAGGCTGTTCGCATGCTGACAGGTGTGTTTTTCTGCAGGACCAGTAATGGAAAGAGTTCGGTGATCAATGCCATGTTATGTGACAAAGTACTGCCGTCTGGGATCGGCCACACCACCAACTGCTTCCTGAAGGTGGAGGGCACGGATGGCAGCGAAGCCTTCCTCTTGACTGAAGGCTCAGAGGATAAGAAGAGCATACAGGTTGTAAACTTCTCCATTTCTGGTTTGTAGATGTTGAAATGTTTCTTTGTGGATGAAACCTCAGCTGATGGTGTGTTTTGTGATTAGACGGTGAACCAGCTGGCCCATGCGCTCCACCAGGATGAGGACCTGGATGCTGGCAGCATGGTTTGTGTCATGTGGCCTAAAGCTAAGTGTGCTCTGCTCAGGGATGATTTGGTGTTGGTTGACAGGTCAGACATTCTTTTACTTTGAACTAATGTCTCATTAAATAGAAAATAAAAATGTACTGAACGATTGTGTTTTTGTCTCCTTCTCCCTTCCAGCCCAGGCATTGATGTCACCACTAAACTGGACAGCTGGATTGACAAGTTTTGCCTTGATGCTGATGTCTTTGTTCTGGTGGCAAACTCTGAATCCACCCTCATGCAGACGGTGAGACAAACAGTTTGTCTTCCTTTTCTGTATCTGTTGTCCATTGGGATGAACCTGGAATCATCTGAAGGATAGTAAATAATTTCTCTGCTATGTTCACTGCTATTTTTCAACAGGAGAAGTCCTTCTTCCACAAAGTCAATGAGCGTCTCTCCAGTCCCAACATATTCATCCTCAACAACCGTTGGGACGCGTCAGCCTCAGAACCTGAGTACATGGACGAGGTTAGTCCATTTCACATCATCATCACATCCAGTCCTGAGGGCTCTTTACAGGAACAGAAATCAGAAGAACAAAAAGATCAAACACGGTCTAATTCAGTCATTGCTGTGTAAAAAATGAAGGGTCTGGACGTGAGACCTGTCAAGGCTGTCTCCCAACCCCCCCCCCCGCCCCCCCCCCCCCCCCCCCCCCCCACACACACACACTGTCTGCTAGAGATGGGCTCCAGCTCTCCACAACCTGGAAAACAGAAGCAAATAGAAAAGATGGATGGACAGAAAACTGAAAGGCATATTACCTGTTGCCTCTCATACCACAGTTTTAGACTAAGATAATCTTATGTTGAGAACTGACAGTTGTGGCCATTTTGGTCAAACCTCAGAAATAACATTATGCACAATTTAATGTCCTGCCAAGAGCATGGGTAATTCACTGTATAAAACTGAGTTAAAATAAATAATAATTATAATTATTAATTCAGTTCAATTCAGTTTATTTATGATAATAAACAACAAAGTCCTTCCTCAATAATCCAGGTATAAAATCCAACATTTTTCAGTCAGGTCATCTGGACAGTTTCTTTTTTTGTTCTGAAACGTTTCGCCTTCGATCCGGAAGGCTTCATCAGTCAAGGAAACACACAACAAAACTGATTCTTCCTCCAACAGCTTACTCCAAAGTGGAACAAACCAGTTCTGCTTGTGATTAGATGGTCTCTTTTGTACGCCCCTCCTCCATTGCCGGCCCTCTTCCTTGCTGGCAGTCTTGTCAAACTGGTTGAAAACAACAAAGTCCAATAATAATAATAATAATTAATAATAATAATCTTGACAGGCAGGAATACATTGTTTTGCCTATATAAATGATGGATATGCTTTCTTTTCTGTATATTGCTTAAAATTCTAGTTTCCTCAAATGATAAATTGTGGTGGACAATCTTCATATTTCCTAAATTTGGGGGTGGAGGTCCAATTGGGCAGTTTGGATTCCTAAAGTTTTTTTTTTTGGTAAATGCCCAAATAATGAGTTATAACTTTTCAACATTTTTTTCTTTCTTCAAAGTAACTATGTGTACTGTGCCTTTTAAACAATTTGGAAAAGCCACTCTAATCTGTTCAAACATTGTACACAAACGTATCTAAAAACCATGGGAACGTCCTGCCATCTTACTGCTCAGGAAGGAGACAGTTCAGTGTTCCTGAGCTCAAGATGTTTTGGTGTGAAACGTATCAGCCCCAAAACAAAAGCTAAAGACCTAAGATGCTGCTGAAGCTGTTCATAGGGGTCATTATTCAGAGTTAAACACGTCTTAAGACCAATGTGGGCTAAAAGTCCACTCAACAAGGACGAAGCCAGCACTCCAAACATAAAAAGATCGATTACAGGGACAAGGACCTGAACGTATTGAAAACATGTCCTGGCTGATGAAACAAAAGTTTTACAGTTGGGTCATATTGACCATCATTACATTTGGAGAAAAAGGAGGGATGATGTGAAGTATGGTGGTGGCAGCATCATATTGAGGGGTGTTTTACTTTGCTGCAAGAGGGACTGGTGTGCTTCATAAAATAGATGGCATATTGAGGAAAGAACATCATGTGGAAATATTGAGAAAACTGTTATATTAGCTGTTATTAGTCAGGAAGTTAAAGTTTGGACACAAATGGGTCTTCAAATTGACAATGTCCCTCAGCATTTGACCAAATTAGGTACAAAGTATCTTAAAGACAGTAGTCAGTGTTTTGGAGCACCCATCACAAAGTCCTGATTAGACCACAGTTGGAGTAGCCTTTGAACATGGACAGGCTTCATTGTAATGCTGAGACACAATCGACAACAAATATAGTTTTCCAAAGATTCTTGAGACTCTATGACCTCTTTCTGCCTTTGTAGAATGTTATGTCTGGAACCTGGAACCCAGGCTTGTTATGTAAAGTATTTGGTAAACTTTTTTTAGTTCTTCATTCTTATATGTCAGTAATTTGTCTTAACGGCACAGTTTGTTGCAGCATGTGTTAATCTGATCTTGTTCTTTCAGGTTCGGAGGCAGCATATGGATCGCTGCACCAACTTTTTGGTCGATGAGTTGGGCGTGGTCGACCGAGCCCAGGCCAGTGATCGCATCTTCTTTGTCTCTGCCAAAGAAGTTCTTCAGGCTCGGGTGCAAAAATCCCAAGGAATGCCAGAATCAGGTGGGACCTACGTTGGTTTCTTAACAAGCAACTTGAAAAACTAGAAAATATTAGTTTTCAAAATCCTTTTCAATTTACAAAACTATTTCAAAATGAATTTATATTTGTTAACATACTGGCCACAGCAGAGGAAAATGCTCCAGTGTGCAATTTATGGTTGAAGTGATAGAGAGGATTCCCAGAAAGGGGAGAGTAATGATTGGAGCAGACCTGAATGGACATGTTGGTGAAGGAAACAGAGGAGATGAGGAAGTGATGGGTAGGTTTTCTGTCGAGGAAAGAAACAGGAAAGGACAAGTGGTGGTGGATATTGCCAAGAGAGTAGAAATGGCTGTAGTCAACACTTGTTTCCCAAAGAGGAACGTAGAGTGACCTGTAAGAGTGGAGACAGGAGTACCCAGGTCGACTACATTCTGTGTAGAAGAGGAAACCTGAGGGAGATTGGGGACTATAAGGTTGTGGCAGGGGAGAGTGTGGCCAGACAGCATCGGATGGTTGTGTATAGAATGACTCGTGAAGAAGAGAAAAAGAGTAAAATCAGAGAAGAAGACCAAATGGTAGAAGTTGAAGAAGGAAGAATGTTGTGAGGAGTTCAGAAAGGAGCTTTGTAAGGTGGTAAGAAAAAGCTTCCAGATGACTGGGCTACTACAATAACAGTAATTAGAGAGACAGGTAAGAAGTTACTTGGTGTGTCTGAATAGAGAATGGATGATAAGGAAACCTGGTGGTGAAATAGTGAAGTGCATGAAGTTATTCAAAGAAAAAGGTTAGTAGAAAAAGGTTAGCCAAGAAGAAATATGACAGTGAGAGGACTTAAGACAGTAGGCAAGAATATAAGGAGATGCATTGTAGAAAAAAGAAGGAGGTAGCTAAGGCAAAGCAGAAGGCTTTTGATGAGTTGTGTGGAAGGCTGGACACTATATGGAAGGCTTGGACACTAAAGAGGGTGAGAAGGACTTGTACCGATTGGCGAGACAGAGGATCAGACTGGAAAGGATGTGCAGCAGGTTAGGCTTGTTAAAGGTAGGAATGGTAATGTTCTAACAAGTGAGGAGGGTGTGACGGGAAGATAGAAGAAGTATTCTGAGGAGCTAATGAATGAAGAGAATGAAAGAGAAAGAAGAGTAGAGGTCATAGAAACTGTGGACCAGGAAATGGGAAAGATTAGTGAGGGTGAAGTCTGGAAAGCTCTGAAAAGAATGAAGAAGGGGAAGGCAGTAGAACCTGATGACATACCTGTGGAGGTTTGGAAATGTCATGGAGAGATGGCAGTGAGGTTTTTGACCCAAATATTCAATGGCATATTTGAGCGTGAGAAAATGATTGAGGAAAGGAGAAGTGTGCTGTTGCCCACTTTTAAGAACAAGGGTGATGTACAGAGTTGTAGCAACTACAGGGAAATTAAGTTGATGAGTCACACAATGAAGATCTGGGAGAGAGTTGTGGAAGCAAGACTTAAATGAGAGGTAACTGTGAGCAGCAGTATGGTTTCATGCTGACAAAGAGCACCACAGACACCATCTTTGCTTTGAGGATGCTGATGGAGAAGTACAGAGAGGGTCAGAAGAACTCTGTTGTGTCTTTGTGGTTTTAGAAAAAGCACATGACAGAGTGCCAAGAGAGGAGGTGTGGTATTGCATGAGGAAATCTGAAGTGGCAGAAAAGTATGTTAGACTGGTACAGGACATGTATGAGGACAGCAGGACAGTGGTGTGATGTGCTGAGTGACAGATAGCTTCAAGGTGGAGGTGGGAGTGCATCAAGGATCAGCTCTGAGCACCTTTTTGTTTTCTCTGGTGATAGATTGACTAACAGATGAGGTTAGGCAGGAATCCCTGTGGACTATGATGGGGACGAGATGGGGTAGAGGAGGTCAGCTGCCTTGGGACCAGAAAATCGCAATTTGACTCCTAGTCCTTCCCACATGTCATGGTGTCTTTGAGCAAAGACACTTAATCCCTAATTACTCCCCAGGTGCTCAATAGCTGCCCACTGCTCCACCTGTATGTATCCCAGGTGCGATGGGTTAAATGCAGAGAGCCAATTTCATCATTGTATGTGAACATAAAATGATGACAACATATATATAGCAATATGATGTTTGCAGATGACGTGATCTGTGGTGAGAACAGGGAATATGTGGAAAAGAACTTGGAGAGGTAGAGGTATGCTCTTGAAAGAAGAGGAATGGAAGTCAGCCGTACTAAGATATGTGGGTGAATGAGAGGGAGGCCAGTGGAACAGTGAGGCTACAAGGAGCAGAGGTCACAAAGGTGCAGGACTTCAAGTACTTAGGATCCACTGTCCAGGAAAACATGGTGTGGTAAAGAAGCGAAAAAGAAAGTCCAGGCAGGATGGAGTGGATGGAGAAAAGTTTCAGGGGTGATTTGTGACAAAAGGGTGTCAGCAAAGATCTACAATAGTGTTCTTACCTAAAATGCACATCTTTACTTCATGAGTGAGTTTGACTCACAACAACTACACCTCCACCACCTGTACACAAGTCAGAGCTTCCAGAGCTTTCAGTTTAGAACTGAAAAAGTTGTTTAGTCAAGGAGTAAAACCTGTCAGGATTTTAAGAAGTCTAATTGGTTTTGATTACTGTACCATGTGCTGAATGACTGACAATCTACAGCAGTAAATTCACTTCACTTCTTATAATATTATGAGCTAATTTAAAACCAATTTAAAGTCTAGTAGTCTTTAAAATGATGCATGTTGTAATAATGTATTATCAGGATAACTTCTGAAGTTTTAGAGAAACCTACGTTTTTTAAAGGTAGGTGTGCTGTGATGGTAAAGAAAGCTAAGCTGCTAATAACAATTCTAAACTACAAAAACAGGTCCTAATAATAAAGTGTTCTTGTGCTTCAGGTGGAGCTCTCGCAGAAGGATTTCAAGCCAGGATGTTTGAGTTCCAGAACTTTGAGAGGAGATTTGAAGTAAGATCTTTTTATGTGGTGTTATAAATATTTAGCTTCTCTGTCACATCTGTGGTGTCTGATATTCTTGTATAATAGACTAGCTCCTACGGTATGTTTTGATTTATAGCTCTGTTTAGCAGAGTACAGTTACAATTGTTATTGTTGTTAGTTGTTATTGTTGTCGCTGTTGTCCATTGTTGTCATCATTCTTTGTTGAAATCAGGTCTCTCTTGTAAATGAGTCCTCGAGGCTCAATGGGATTTACCTGTCTAAAAAAAGGTTGAATGAACAATGTGCACACGCGTCCATAAAGTCAAGTCCTCAGAGCTGCCACTCAGCATCAAGTTCATCGTCTTTAAGGAAAGACAATGTCCAATGTTTCCTCTACCATTATACAAGCGAGATTTCCTACCCCTTCAACAGAACTGAACACCCCGCCTACCAAACCAAACTTGCCCCCCCACCCGGCACTGATATAGCACTAAGCTAGCGGCGCACAATACAGGCGCTCTAGCTAAAAAGCTAAAGGTGCCTCTTCCCTCATGCTGCCCCCCCCCCCCCCCCCCCCCCCCCCCCCCCCGGCTCAAAAACTGTTGGTACAAGCTGCGCTCAGACATGTCTCCGTCCCCCCATCAACAAAAAATAATGGATGAGAGATGAGCACTCCGCCATGGCAAGTTAACTAGGGGAAACACTGAAGTCGCATCAGAACCACCCTCGTAGATCTTGTAACTTAGTGGAGTCTCAGCCTCAGAGGGAAGAAAGACAAACTTTGTTGAGTTTGAACTTTAGTATACTCCTCTGGAAACTTTAATAGTTCTTGGTTATTGGCTCTGCAATGCAAAAAGGCCAAAAGTAGAAGTTCTTCTTTCTTTTCCTTTTTTTAGTTGTCCTCGTATTAGCCATCCTATTGTTTTTCTTCCTGTTGTTTACAGTGTATGCAGACCTTGTTCTGTGTTAGAGTTGTATGCGGGTCCAAAAAATCTGATCCGATCCGGCCCCAGTCTGCAGTCATAATTTCCGAACCCCACTCGACCCGACGAATTAACAGTAATTACAAGTCCGAACCTGGAAAACCCCCCGATATTTATTAACGGTCGGGGACACACAGCTGAATAAACTGGGCAGAAGATTCGGAGCTGAGAGGTGTTTGTACTTTCATGGTCGTAAAAAAGCATTTAAACCTTGTTTCTGACTGCATTCTTCTGATTACTGAGACACACGGACAGCTCTGACACGCGTGTCTGCTTTGAGATCTCACCTGTTTGGGTCGTCGTCCGCGCTCGTCCGCTGAGTGTAGCTGCAGAATGAACGTCCATTTGGGTGATGGATCGCTGCCTGGCAGTACAGTCCCATCTGAAGCTTAACTGAACTTCGAGGCCGGTCAGCTCACGGTGAAATGGCCGCATGCGGCTGGTGGAAGTAAGGCAGGTCATGTTATCATATAATTGGATCCCGGCTGATCCTGACCTAATTAAAAGCCTGAGACCGGCCCGGCCCGCCCATTAATCACATTGTAACGGCCCGACCCTAATCCCGGTTGGGCTGGGCCGGGTTTCGGGTTTGGGTTAGAAATGACAGCTCTGTTCTATATCTGGTATTTTTATGGCAACAATATATCTCCCCATGCAGGCCAGACATAGTTGCTGCAGCAGTTTGGATGAACACATTTGTAGAAACTGTTGCATTAGGAAGGGCAATGCTGCAATGCAGTTCTTTATTTCATGCAAATTTGCCCACTGTGCCAACCCCTGCAGAAGGAAGGACCCAAAAAAACAGCTTCTCTTTCCCATTTTATTGTAGGTGACGTAAAAAGGCCAAAGGTGAGTTTTCTTTTCAACACCAGAGTTCCTAAAAGTCTGGACTCTGAACCATACCATTAGATGTAGAATTAATTATACAATTACTCCTAAAATGTATGTTTATTTTAAGAATTGTCATGTATTTATTACAGACCTGTTATTTGTAAAAAGTAATTAAAAAGTTATATTTAATGTCAAGTGTTTCAGATTTCTATTAGAAACGAAATAACTTCTTATTGCTAAATTATTTTACTGTAACAAAAAATACGCTATCCATCCATCCATTATCTTTTACCCGCTTCTTCCATTTTGGGTCACGAGGATCACTGGTACCCATGTCCATCAATCACTGTGCAAAGGGCGGGGGACACCCTGGACAGGTCTCCAGTCCATCACAGGGACACATGGAGACAAACGAGACAAACAACCATTCACTCTCTCACTCTCACCTAGAGACAATTTAGAGTTACTAGTCAGTCTCACATACATGTTTTTGGTCTGTGGGAGGAAACTGGAGGACCCGGAGAAAACCCACGCATGCACAGAGAGAACATGCAAACTCCACCCAGAAAGGCCCCCGGACCGGGATTTGAACCGGGGACCTGCTCGCTGAGAGGCAGCAGCTCTACCAGTTGTGCCATCGTGCTGCCCATGATTAATTTAAATAGATTAAATTTTTATATAAAAATAATAAAGAACAAAGGACTTGTACAAAGGAAGGTAATGAGCAAATGTGATAAAGCTGCTTTAGTTCAGAGCAAATGGCTCTGAACTCTGATGGATAAATGGATGCATTAACTGATGGATGGGTAGTTTGTCTCTAAAATCTCTACACCTTTGGCTTCTTTTCATCTCTAAACTTGGTTGAAGAAACAAACAAAATAAGTCTGACTTTGAATTGAGTTTCAGACCAATCCTGCTGATTGTGGTGTGAATGATCTTCTGTCTGCTGGGTGTAGGAGTGCATCTCTCAGTCTGCAGTGAAGACCAAGTTTGAGCAGCATACGGTGAGAGCCAAGCAGGTCTCTGAAGCTCTGCGCCGGATAATGGACTCTGTGCACGTTGCTGCCCAAGATCAGAGGTCAGTCTGGACCCTCAAAGTGGTCATAAGAAATGTGTTTGTTTGGACAAGTCAGGGCTGTAGAGGTTAAATTATTGCTTGTCTGGTAAAATAAAGTCACACTGATGTCTTAAAGAGTTTGGAATGTGTAAAACTATTACTGCAGTTTTCGCAAATATCCACCATGTGGTATAGGTGTGTGAAAGAAAAACACTAACTAAGCTGCACCTACATGTCTGTGAAGAACCTGCATAGGAACTGTGAGCTACAGTATGCTACCATATGTTCATCAGTGCTTTAGACTCCCTGTGGTAATTCATGTGATTTGTCATAAAACGTGTTTTATTTCATTGTAGAGAACTTAGTTCCTGTGCCACCACTGAAACGACTGCAGAGCATGTAGTACCACATGGTAAAAGACGATAAAAGGCTGAACGAACTGTTTGGGCTGAAGGCACCAGCTTTCAAATTTTAAACTCTGTACAGAAGTCTTCCTACTATAAATTTGATCTTAAACAAGCATCAGATTAGAACGAAGAATTAAACTGCACTATAGCAGACACTGGAACGTGCTCTGTTTCATCATCGTTGCATGTGTTCTTACAGTGACTGCACGTGTTCTCTGCTTTAAATCATCACACATGGGAGATAACACACAAGCACAGCAGGCAGGGAATACATGTCTTGCTCAAGGACACTGCAACACATGGAAATAGTAGGGAACCAAAAGTTAACTGATCAACCAGCAACTCTTCAGTTCCAAGATGGTTGAACTACCACTGCTCCACCGCCACCTCCAAACCATCTGCTTCTGCAACATGCACTTTAAATACTTTTTCGATTTTCTCAATATGGAACGTCAGTTCCCTTTACTCGTCCGTACGGCTGCATGTTAGGGCTATTCAGGAAAAAAGTCTTCCTCCTTAGGTTTTTAAGCTGTAAATCTGCTCTTTCTCTGTATCAGAGAAAGATTTGATAAGACTTTGGTACCAGGTTGACATTTTCTTACAAAGCGTGAGTATTTTGGGTAGTACTAATTAGTAAGTGGGAAATTTAATGTTTTAACAAGTGAAGATATTTGCTGTCGCTCGTTAACAAGTATATACATTTGAATGTTTATAGATGACAAGTAAACTGAATTGGTGTTGACTTTACAGATTTTATAGCGCATTACTAAACTAGAGGTGGAGTGGTGGATTTTCTGGAATAATGGCAGACTGAAGAATTAAACAAAAGAATGGTCTGTAAAGTGTCTTTACTAGCAGAGTTCACTACACCTGCAGAAGCCATGGCACAGTCCAAACAAAGCATGGGCTCTGCAGAATTCGTAAATTGTGCAGATTTGGACTACAAGCCAGTCGGCTTCAAAAAGTTCTCAAGATCAGAGCATGCACAAACCTCAGAACCAAGCAGTTGATGTGGGCTTCATGACACATGTTAGATTGATTACCCTGAACAGAAGCCAGAACAAAAAGTCTTACGATCCAGTTTTTAAAATGATACTTCACATTTACAGTTACTGTGATCCCTCATCTATTGAGGGGGTTACATTCCAGAGACCTCTGCGATAGGAGAAAATCCACAAAGTAGTGGCGTTTTCTTCATTTTATTATTTATATATATATATATGCTTTATAAACCTTTCCCACACTCCTACAACCCTTTCCTACTCATCGTGCAGCTTAGCACTGAAAACTTTAGTCCATGCCCACCTGCTGTGTGTGCCCCACCTCAGTTTCTGTTTCACTTAGACCAGGAATAGACTCCCAAATAGCATTTTTCTTCAGCCATTTAGGAGCCGTGGAGGATGAGATTCCTCTGGTGGAGTGAGCTCTGAGCCCCTCTGGAGGCTGAGATCCAGAGGAAATATACGACTGTGAAACAGCGTCACACATTCAGTGTAACAGGCGCTGAGCAGACAGAGGAAGTCCTTGAGACTGATCTCTGAAGGGCAGAGACAGACGCTGAGAGCAGCGTGATGTGGCCGTGCACGAGACGTAGCAGGAGGGCGAGTGTACAGGGCAGACAAGATGAGAGGTGGCTTCCTCCTCCACTTGTGGCGTACAGTATGTACAACAAAATCCTGCTATATAGTGAAAACTCTGCGATACATAATTAGAAAAAATCTGCAATACAGGGAAGCCACAATAAGTGGACTGTGATATAACGAGGGATGACTGTAGTCAAAATGCAATAAAATGAATTTGCTAAATTGTTCTTTGGAATCGATAATGGGGTATGGGTATAATGAGATGGGACAGAGGCAGGGTAACCGATTCGGGACCTGAAAGTCCTGGGTTCGATCCCCAGTCATTGCACATCTCGTGGTGTCTGAGCAGGAGACCCTATCTCCATTTGCTCTCTGGGTGCTTTCAACAGCTGCCCACTGCTCCACCTGCATTTAACCCATCACACCTGAGTGTATCCCAGGTGTGATGGGTTAAATGCAGAGAGCCAATTTCACCATTGTATGGGAACATACAATGATGACAACACGTAACACATTATTATTATTATAACCTGATTTTATTTAAAGTTTCAAAGTTTCATTCACGTTTAAAATTCAGTTAGTTTGACTCTTTCTTTCCAGCACGACACATGCATTCACTACTTTGACTTTAACCTACATTAGTTTGACAAAAATGCTACTCGTTGCCATCAGTATTGTCATTAGTATTTTGTACAGCTGTCCAGTTACTTGGTGAGTTCAGTCATTTTCAGATGCACAAGTTGAACAGGGTTGTAAATTGGTGCAACTAGCTGGTATTACCTTGTTAGTTGGCAAGTACCAGTAAACGTTTTAGCTGTCCTGACTTATTAACTTGTCACCATTTTGAAATTTGCTTGTTCATCACTGACCCTTTAGTAACTAGTGCATAAATTTACTGTCACTATCTAAAAAGTCTTTAATTAGTTTGGTCCAATATTGTGTTAGAAGGCCGGTCGGTTTGATTCTTCCCTGATTAAAGGTCTCACTGTTGAGTTTCTGTTTGAACTGGTTAAACAAAAGTGCCCCTAATTCTTCAACTAGTGCAAGAAATCATCAGACCAGTTCAGAGTAAGAGTCATTCATAGAAGAAACGGATGTAAAGTATTAAACAAATGCTCAATGCAGTTTAAGTTTCCCACTGACTAGATTGAATGAGAAGTAGTATAAATTAGTATTTTCAACAGTATACACTTTTGACGTTTACATTGTATAACTCAATGACTCAATGTGTGTGTGTGTGTGTGTGTGTGTGTGTGTGTGTGTGTGTTCGTGTGTGCATGTGCATATGTGCATTAATTTGTTCAGTGTCTACTGCCTTGAGACAAAAGAGGACCGTTTGGATAGGTTGGATTTTATTGAGAAGCAGTTGGACCTCTTGACATTAGATTGTAAGGCCAAAATCAAGACGCTTACCGAGGAGGTGGAAAGACAGGTGAAACCACAACACACTACCACATGCCTGAACACTGAGTGTTTTATCTCCATCATTACTAAATGCTGATAATGATGGTACAATCCTGCTCTGTGCCCCTTCCAAGGTATCTAACACCATGGCAGAGGAGATCCGGAAGCTTCATGTACTGGTGGATGACTTCCACCTAGACTTCCACCCATCTCCAGTGGTCCTGAAGGTCTACAAAAATGTGAGTTTAAACTGAACAGACACTACAGAGACTTTAAGTATGAGTTTTGTTGGCTTGTACAAACCAGTGCAAGACCAGTGAGAAAACTACTGAACTTTCTTCAGTCCTTCACAGTAAGCGTTATCAGCATATCCTATTAGTTTTGCTCACTAAAGCTTCTAAATAACTGAATCTTTTGAAATTAGCTTCTATAATGACCCACAGTGTGAGCGTCTCCTTTCTACCCGCCTTTGAACAGACGCTCTTGTAACAAGGACACAAGTCAAAACAAAACTCAGACACTGATTACACTAACACTTTGTATTATAAGCACTTCTCAGGTTGTAGCTTTGTCATTGTTCATCCTAATACTTACAATACATACCGTATTCAAGGGCGTCAGAAGCATCTGTAATGTGTGTGTGTGTGGGGGGGGACACAATGATGTGTGTAGGTGCGTGCGCAAAGACATGTACACTAATGTACCAAAAAAAGCAGCATTTCACCTAGATTTTCTTTAATTCCACACATTTAAAACATTTCTTACCAAGTTTGTGTAAATTCAGCTGTGGGTTTAAAGACATTTTAACTTTAATACACTTTAATACAGAGCGTCAGATCAGCACTATTTGTCTTTATAAAGAAATAAAAAACATCTCCACTGGACTTTTTTACTTGTGTTCAACACTCCTCATGTAAAGGATGTTTCTCTTGAAGCTTGAGGACAATAAGGTGTGGGGTTTTAAAGACATTTCAACTTTAATGCACCTGAACACAGCGTCTCTTACACCTGCAGCGTCACAGTTACTGCTAAGCTAACATGCTACAGATGTAGCTCCTCTCAAGCACCCTCCTAACATGAATATATTTTTATGATCCCCCCCCCCCCCCCCCCCGGTCAACAACTGCCCACACTAAGCTCGCTAAACTGGCGAGCTAGTAACACAGAAGTGTCTCCATCTCCTCCACCTGTGTGTGTTTTCTGCTGAAGCAGGAGACTCAGCAGCTGCTGCCTGCACAGTTTCTGCTCTGTGTGTTAGAGTTGGAGGTAACCTGGAAAACCTGGAGTGGAGTTTTAGTAGCTTGAGTATTCTCCTATTAATCAAGTGGAATGGATTTGTTCACGAAGAAAGCAAAACTGCGCCGCCTGAACTAATGTTTCGTCCAAATGAACGTTTTTTTAATGTGGGGGGGGCTTGTCCCCTTCACATATAATGGTTGCGACGCCTATGACCGTATTTAACAAGGATTTCATTGCAAAATTTTGTGCACGTTCTACGTCACTGGACTTAATGTTTTACAAAAAAATCCTTTATTTCTTCATATTTGGGTCCATTTTGTGGATCAGCCTGGACCTCAGAACAACTAAAACACTAGATCACCTCTGTGAACCAGCCCGATCATTTCTATGGGCCAGCCTGGACATCGGGTCAACTAAAGCTAGTGTTGTAACGGTTTGCTAAAATCACATTTCGTTTCGTTTTCAAGGAGGGCTCGGTTCGGTTAATTTTCAGTACAAAAAAGGCCAAAATAAAGACTTACAAAAATATTTATTTTGAAAATATGCCAAGTAAACAATACAACGTTTGTATAAAAACAACCCATTTGGATAATATTTTAAATGAACTGCACTTTTTACAATAAATAAACTATACTAACAATAATAAAAACATTTAATAAATACAACAACAGTCAGAACCAGAACATTAAGCAGCAACAGACCATTTACGATTTAAATAATCAAGTTTTAAGTTTTTGGCCAAAAGACCAACTTGTCCATATTTTCGGTCAAAATCATAGATCTAGTTGCAGTTATTATCTCCAGCGGAGGAGAAAACCGCTCACTAACAACAGTAGCAGGAATAAAGTGTGGCTGTATTTGGCCTCACTGTCTTTCCACCAAAGAAGAGGGTCAGCTTCAAGGGAAGGGTACCCTGAAGCTCTGTACTCACAACCTCTTCTTGGACCTGCTCCCAAAGGGACTTGCTACTTCCCACTTGTCCCTGGAAAAGTTCGCCAAAGAGTTCAGTCATCACAGACTTCTTAGCTGGAGGTGATCTGGTGGATGATTTCCCTGCTGATGAAGAAGACTCAGCTGCTATCGCTGACATCCTCAGACTGGTAACAACACGGAGGTAAAAAAAATGAGTTAATAAGATGATAATTTTAAATTAAAAAAGTTAATCAGATCATAATAACGCAATAACAGTAATAATACAATAACAATACCTCTTCTTGCACGGTCATCATTTCTGTTATGAGGTGGTTGAATATCCTCTCTCGCTCATTATTATCATGTTGCAGGACTTTAAATCTGGGCTCCAGGACTTGTTGACAATATCAGTTTTAGCTTTTTCAGAAAGTGCTGCTACAACTTTTTGGCTGAAGTGTTGACGTGATGGGATGTCCTAGTGGGGCTCAAGAACTTTAATCATATGCTTAAAGCCAGCGCAACATTGGTTCCGCTGCGCGTAATCTCTCACTAATAAAATTTAATGAGCGAAAAAATAATTGCAACGGTACGCACATGGACTGAACTGAACATGCTGTACCGAAATGGTTCACTATACCCACATGTACCGTTACACCACTAACTAAAGCTACTTTGCCGTTGATATTGGGACTACATTTGGCTCTCACTTATTAGTTTTTCTCAGGTGTAAGTGATTTGCCACTGTGACTTGTTTCCCTGCTCTGTGGGTGGGATCGTCTATGCAAAGTGGGCGATATCGTAACAGGTCCTTGTGTTCAAGCCACTCCACTCATCATGGTCATTAATCACCCTATAATCATACTTCAATTTCTTTAGCTTATCCTGACATTGCGTAGAAGTCCGGGTGTAGCTATGCAGCACCATCATCATATCCCTCTGTAAAGATGCTCATTTCTTGTGGCGCTGTCCGTCAACACGATCAGAGAGGAAATGGAAGTTCAGATGTAGTTTGCAGTTTTGCTGGGTGGGTCATCCAGTGACGTAGCTCTGCTGGCCAGTCAACGGCTCTGTTTGCTCAAAATCGTCATCTCTGAGCAGTCTGCTTGGAAACACAAATAAGGTGGTCCCATAAACCGGTCTGAGTTGGGGTGAGTACTGACAGTGAGCAGTCCCTAAAAACTGATGCAGTTTGGTGCAGAACCGATGAGACAGTGGCAAAGCCCTGTAAAAGACCCTATCATCTCTGTGAATCAGCCTGGAACTAAGAACGACTGAAAGACCCAACATTCTTTGTGGACCAGTTTGGACTTTGGATGACTAATAGCTCTTGTAAGGCCCAGCCTGGGTTCACACCCAAGTTCTGAGCCTTTGCATTTCGCCGTCCGGCCCACTTCCAGGTCTAATTTTGGAACCCAGAGACCCGGGGTTTTATGGGGGCCGACTGGTGCTGAAGATTAGATGTCAGCAGACTGCAGGTCATCACTGCTGTAGTTTTACATGCAAATTCAAATGACAACTGTAAGCAAGCTAACATTAGCGAGCATTAGCTTCCCTTCTTACGTCGTCTTACACTCCCACATCAACATGCTACTGCTGTGTGACCTACGCTCGTATCTTTCTGCTGTGTTTCTTCTAGCAGAAGGCCGCCTTCTCTGGCTCTGTTTTAACTTGTTAATAATGAGAGAACAATAAACATGAGCATGGGCTCCATGCTTTCTATTGTTGGGTGTTGCAAACATTCTTACTATGATGATCCTGCCCATATGCCAAATCAATCAAGGCTGTGCAGAGCCGAGGAAGACCCGAGCTGTGCTGACCCAGGCTGGGTCAGACCTTACAATGCAAAACACCATAAGACTCATCACCTCTGTGGACCATCTTTGATCTTGGGATGACTAAAAGTAAAATGTATATTACTTTTACGGGGTCAGGAGGGCATATGAAGCTGGAGCCTACCCATTCAGGTCATTGTAGGTCAACATTAAAACCGTAGCCACCTTAAAACAGACTGGGAGTAAGTTAAGAGAACCAAATGGAGATAGATGTTCAAGTTTTCTTGTCTGTGTTTAGAAGACGAGCTGCAGCATTCTGGATCCTGTCCTCCTTTCCTGAAGTATCCTCATCGTTTTGTTTTGTTTTCTGCTTGTTGTTCGACACAGAGGCTTCTTTTTCTTTTTGCATTTTACACAACTTTTAAAGACGGTTGTTTGTTTAGGAGCTCCATCGCCACATCGAGGAGGGTCTGGGCAACAACATGTCACAGAAGTGTTCCAGCTCCATCACCAGTTCCATTCAGGCCACGCAGACTGAGATGATCGGTAACAACACTTCTAACAGCTGAACTCCTCACACACACATGGTTGTTGTTTGTTACAAGTACAAGACTGCAGAGTAAACTGGGGGACCTCTGGTGGGTAGTGTTAGTTTTTCACCAGATGTTATCTCAGTTTGTTGATTTATACAGCATCAATTTTAACAAACGTCTCAGAAATACACAAATATTCACAGACAATACAGTGTTTTCCCTACATACAGTAACTGGCCCTGGCAGGGCACTTGTAAACTGGGGAGCGGGGGCACACCTGCAGCATTATTGATCACTCCAGATCATCGTTGTGCACTGCAATGTTGTGCCCGTCAGGGTAGCTAGCAGGTCATGTGACAGAGAACTATCCAAAGTAATCGCATGTAATTTTCAGAAATAAGTATCTGCACAATGATCTTGTTTTGTTCCATTAAACCATAAAGTAATGCTATCCCTGGACTTAGAGCTCAGAAAGTGCCACCCCTGACAACCCATCTGTTCTCTGATTGGATTGTTAAGTTTGTGATTGACATGACGTTGACCAATCAGCTAAGAGGAAGAAAAAGTCTGGTCAAAATTGGTGCTTGTAAAATGAAACCCACAGACAGAGATGTGCACGTAGTTTTTGGCTTTGTGTCTGTAAACAGACTAAAAAAAATTAAAAAAAAGATTTGTAACTTGAGTAATTATTTTTTACAAATACATATCTTTTTTACACACACAAATTCCTATCCACCTATGCTCATATCACACATTTTATGTTACAAGATTACAAAACTAATTTACAAGTACAAAATATTTATGAGCAGAATTTGTGCCCATAGAGTTAGTTGTGATTTTTTTGGAAGTGCCTGAGAAGCTAAACTCCTAGTAGCCACAAAATATAAAATATACACAGCACATGGAACAGCCCTAGCTGTATGAGGCTGTATGTGATGGAGGTTGGTATTTTAGATGTAAATCTCTTTGTTTTTCTACAGAGGGTCTGAAGCCTCTGCTGCCAGCTTCTGTCAGAGAGCAGGTAGACAAGATCGTTCTTCGTCAGTCTTTCAGTCTCCTTTATGACCTAGCCTGCGACAAGCTGTGTAGTGATTTTCAAGAGGACATCAGCTTTCACTTTTCTCTGGGGTGGACCATGCTCGTCAGTCGCTTCTTGGGCCCCAAAAACACCCGACGGGCCCTTATGGGCTACAGCGACCAGGTAACACTGCTGAAGATGTAACTGATTACCTGGACTGTTATACAGTAATAATTAAAAACTGTACATAGGTATGAAATAAATCAAACCAATGCCTGGCATTTAGTGGAGGAATGCATATTAACGGTCATCACACCAGTGTTTCAGACTAAGGCATTGATAAAAAGATGGTCAAGTCACTTTGCTCCATTCTTGTAAATGATGTTTTGCACAATCTCAAGCATCTCAAGCGATATTGCAAGATCTTATGGGATTTGTAATCTCTTGGCAGTGTATGCTGAGCATGACTCGGCTATTACCGCACCACATTTTATTTTAATATCTGTAAAAGTGACTGAGTTATAGCCATTTTGTGTTGGGTAAGGTCACTTGGCTGTGTCGGCCATCTTGAATCACAAAGATTCTAAAAGTTAAACAGTTGTAGATGTACGGTCATTTATTACTTTCTGAGATTTTTATCAAAACTTAACCAATGGTTTACAAGATATTTTGCTAAAAGACAAAACCAAACAAACATGCAGACACGGGCAAAAACAATAATGGTAGATCAAGCCCGTGGAGGCAAGGCAACATACAGGTATTTTCATGCTTTCAACAGAGCATGGGATCCTTTTGAAACATTTTTTCAGTTTATTTATTTCATTTTTTATTCATTTGTTTTTAGTTTTTGCTTCAGTAAAAGTCACACTGCAGCCCAGCTTGTAAAGAGTATTGAGATAATATCTACATGGTAGTAACAGACTTGCATATGTGAAAAAATGGCCGCCATCTTTGAGGTTTTTGCATTTTTCCCTGCAAACTTTGTCACATCTTATAAAGCCTAATATCTGTGCACGTGACCTGCACTGTACTGTCAGATGATATGCACCCACACCTACTGTATGTCTGTCCCAAATTTGTTTTGCAAAACCTACTTTTTGATTGTCAAATCAAAAACTTGTCATGTTAAATCTGGATACCTTGTTGACTATAGGATGTTATAGACAAGCTACGCCTGCTCAGATATTCTTTTCCAGCTAGCAAAAACATATCTTCAACACAATAGTAGATGAGATTAAATTTGTTGAGTTGTTTGGGGAGCCAATTCTGAGTTCGTAGACTCATTTTGACAAACACCGAGCAATAAGGTTTGCTATAAAGAAAAAAGCTAATGCAAAAATGCCTGATTGGATCATCTCCAATTAGGCACAGACTTTCAGGACACTGCCTTGAGGTCACGCCTAAAGTCCTAAGTCTCAAGTAAAGTTGTAACTTATTGCATCTAAAAAAAACAACACAAAAAGCTAAACATGGAGCCTAAAGTGTCCGATATTTTGAGAAAGTTTTGTAGGAAAAAAAGAATGCTAACTACTATAACAATAAAAACTTCATGTGTCAACCTATTGGTGATGCTACTGTTAAAGGCCTACAAAATAGGCCCCACTAAAAAGAACTTTACGGCACCCTGTTTGTTAAAGATTACTGAAATATCTACTCAATACAAGTTTGCTTAAAAATACTTGTCTGTGCAAATTAGCAAAATGTGCTAAACCTGTAATCATCATCTCCTCTAAGAAATTCTTATAAAACTTCTTATATACCATCTAGAAAAGTTACGTAGAAAATGTTATTCAGGAAAAGGTGTTTAGTTTTTAAATGTGAGTTACGTTAACTCATGTTTTAGCTAGCTATCAACATGTAAAACTGGTTAAATTCAATTCAGTTATTTCAGTTTATATGGTGCCATATACATTATAAAATGTACAAACATCTTCACATCTACACTGCCTGGCCCCCTAAAAAAGTTCACACACTAATATGTTGTTGGACCACCTTTAGCTTTGATTACATCGTGCATTCACTGTGTCATTGTTTCAATAAGCTTCTGCAATGTCACAAGATCTATTTCCATCCAGTGTTGCATTAATTTTTCATGAAGATCTTACATTGATGGTGGCAGATTCTGACCACTGCACAGTCTTCTCCAACACATCCCAAAGATTCTCAATGGGGTTAAGGTCTGGACTCTGTGGTGACCAGTCCATGTGTGAAAATAATGTCTCGTGCTCCCAGAACCACTCTTTCACAATTCGAGCCCGATGAATCCTGGTGTTGTCATCTTGGAATATTCCCGTGCCATCAGGGAAGAACAAACCCATTGATGGAATAACCTGGTCATTCAGTACATTCAGGTAGTCAGCTGACCTCATTCTTTGAGAACATACTGTTGCTGAATCTAGACCTGACCAACTGCAGCAACCCCAGATCATAGACTGCCCCCACAGGCTTGTACACTAGGCCACATTTTTTTCCGACCACGTTTCTTCCTGGAAGACGATGAGTCCCCACTATCCTTCCAGTTTTTAAAAATACGTTGGACAGTTCTTAACCCAATTTTAGTAGTTTCTAGAAACTCCTCGGATGTTTTCTCTGCTTGATGCCAATGATTTGACCCTTCTCAAACAGACTGACATCTTTTCCACGACCACACGATGTCTCTTTCAACATGGTTGTTTAAGAAATGAGAAGCAGCTCATTGCACCAGTTGGGGTTAAATAACTTGTTGCAGCTGAAAGATAATTGTCCACGCAGTAATTATCCAAGAGGAGGCTCGTACCTGTTTGCTTAGTTAATCCAGGTGGCGACTTATTTTTTGGGCCAGGCAGTGCATTATAAAATGTCACTTAGTCAAAGTTATGTATCTATGGAAGCCAGCCGATTGTGTCGATTCTTCACTACGCCACAATCTCCCATTCTGAGCAACACATCGGTGACAGTAGAAAGAAACAATTCCCTTTTTAACAGAAAGAAACACCCAGCAGAACTAAAACCAGGACCATACCCCAGACTGGCTGGGGTCTAAGAGGACAAGTTCAGGTGTAGTTTATATGGTCCAAGTGTAGTTTTTGTGGTCCAGGTGTAGTTTCTGTAAAAAATAAAGACAAAGATAAACATGTTAATGATATATCCTGATGCATGCTCAATAATCCAGGTAGAAAAATCTAAAAATGTTAAGTCTGGTCCTCTGAACATTCAAAAAACAAAACAAAGCAAAAAAATAAAAATTTGTAGAAACGTTTCGTCTTTCAGATGAAAGACGAAACGTTTCTACTTTTTTTGTGTGTGTGTGTTTTGCTTTGTTTTGTTTTTTGAATGTTCAGAGGACCAGACTTGACATTTTTAGATGTTAATGATATAAATAATTACAAATACAAACATGAACAGTAGAGTGAGTAAATAGAGCAGCAGAGTGAAGAGATGTGATCTGTTTGTCCTCCAACAGTCCTAATCCTATAGCAGTATAACTAAGGAAACCCACGTCAACCCTAACTATGAGATTTATCATAAAGGAAATTCTTAAGCCAGTCTCAGCCATCAACAAGCAACATATTTTATTAGTATTATTATTATTATAGTTGTTGTTGTTGTTGTTGTTGTTGTTGTTGTTGTTGTTGTTGTCTTCTTCTGGTGCTCAATAGCAAAAGATCTCAGGAAGCTCTGCATCCCATGTCAGACTAGGTTATGTTCTGCTACTTGCAGGTTCCTCGGCCCGTGGCTTTAACTCCCGTCAACACCAGCATGCCTCCATTCCCGCAGAACTCTGTGACCCAGGAGGAGCTGATGGTCTCCATGGTGACCAGTCTGGCTTCCCTGACTTCTCGTACCTCCATGGGTGTCCTGGTGGTTGGTGGTGTGGTGAGGACTCAGAATTGCATTGAACAGTGGATTATTTGTGAGACGTGGATGATTAAGACTTATACTCTATGAATAAGTTTGTACAGAAAATCCCAGCAGTGGTTCGTAGCTCTGAAGAATCATGCACAACAGACCTGGGGTGTCATGTACAAAGGCTTGCGTGGATTTCCTACTGAAACATAGCACGCACAAATAAATCCAGATGTATGAAACTGTTTGTACACATGATTCCAAGCACACTTCCTTTGTGCATCCCAATCAATGTGGAACTGAACGCACATGAGTGAATACCACACTCCTCCCCTGACACACCTCCATTTAAATATGCAAATAGATTTAAATCTGCCCTGCACCTGAGGAATCTCCTCTCCACTATGGAGAAGCTTGTCTTCATGTAGGAAAAAGAGGAACTTCATAGAATGTGTTTGGCGACACTTCTAAATGAGGTAGAGGATAGTAAAAAAAAAAAAAACACATTCTGTTTGACATTAGCGCCAAGCACAAGAAGAGTGAGTGGAACAATGAGTGGCACAAAGGTGTAAATGCTATGGGGTCAGAGCAGCGCATGCAGAAATTAAGAAAAAATGGTCAGACATATTAGGACTATTAAATGAATTTACTTATCAAGAAGCCCCCCCATCCCACACTGTGCTAGCTTGTAGTCTGTTCCCAACCATGCTGTTCATTAGAATGAATCGAGCATTAAACCAGGCCACCGCACCACAATGTTGGTTAGTTGCTTTTGTCACATATAATTTGCACATTGATTGGATGAAAATGCTTCCTGTTAACAAACATCTTCATCCTGTGATTGTGCTTTTATAGTAATGTGTGTGCAGTCGATAGCTCTGATTACCTTAAGAAAACAGGCTGTCGCTGCAAATTGTGCTTTAATGTTGACCTGTTCAACTGCATTGTAGAGAGTTTTATATATCTGGTTGACATGAATAATTCCATCCCACACAGCTAGCCTAGCTCGGCTCAGGGTCGACTGTCCCAGTTGGTCTGTCAGCTCCCTCTGAAATGTCCCTGTACCCAAGTGTGGTCAGCAACTGTATGTGTACTGGTGGTACACGGCTCCTCGCTGTGTCACACTCCAAGACCGGCTGCAGCTCCAAGCACAGTCCCCAAAAGGGTTGCCCTTGGAAACCTAAAACAGTTGATGAGCCCGTCATCATTGTGGGCCAGAAACTTCTCTCTGTCTCCAAATACACGCTCTCTGCGTATTTTGACATTTGTTATCCTCTAAGGCTAAAGCCATTGTTGTTGAAGGTATTTTCTGTACCACTTTGCACATGCTTTTCTATCCACTCATCTAATTACATACATGTGGATGTATTAATTGTTCATCATGTGTGTCCAGTGTGTACAACAATAGTTTTCCCATCAACAGTTTCCAAGTAGCATCTCCAAGTGTCACCAATGGACCAATAACCATAGAAACTTGCGTGCATCAACCTTGTTGTCGTGGAGCTGCGCACATTTCCACAGTCATTTCATTCTTCATACATTTGAAGTTTTGTGTGAAAAAGTACGTACACTGCGTTTTTGTACGTACACACTCTTTGTACATGAGGCCTCTGGAGATAAAAAAAAGATTCTGGTCATCTAAGTGTTAATGATCTCAAACAATTCCAGAATTACAAAGAGCTTCACGTTGTTTAAGACTTGCAGCCCATCAGATAAACTGATTGAGCTGGCAGCTAAAAAAAATTATTTTAAAATAGTTGCCATAAAAGTGAATGTGTAACTAAATAAATAAGAAAAAACTGTTGTTTATCCTGTATTGCCCACTATAACTTATAAATGGTTATACATATGAAATATGAACGCTGGTATTATTTTAGATCAATCAAGCCAAATAAAGGACATAAAAACTTTATCTTCACCATATGGTTACAGTGCATGTTTTGACTGAGTGTACTTTTTAAGGTAAATATCAGACAACAGCCTAATGTAATAATATACCCAACATCAACATGAAGCTGCTCTGCAGAGGATCAATGGGTAGATTCAGTTCCATCAAGTTGACAACGGCTGTTAAACACAGACTGCTCAAAGAAAGTACAAACTACTACTGTAGTAGTTTTATTTGTTCGCATTATTTGTGGAGTTCTGTAGCGGTTTTCTCTTGTGCCCCCTGTGGAGCTCATCTCCATGATCTCTGCCTTTGCACCATGAGGTAATGAGTTGGTGAAAAATTTGCTTCCAGACAAATATATTGCCAGTTGTGACTTGTTGGACTGACAAAAATAGTTGTAGCCTATTGTCACCCTTAGTGGACACAGTGTTTCTTCACACTTTGCTCTGTTAATATTTGCAGATCTGGAAGGCAGTGGGGTGGCGTCTCATTGCCCTTTCCCTGGGTCTGTACGGGCTCCTATACGTCTATGAGCGCCTCACCTGGACCACCAAAGCCAAAGAAAGAGCCTTTAAGAAGCAGTTTGTGGAATATGCCAGCGAGAAGCTGCAGCTGATAGTCAGTTACACTGGATCCAATTGCAGCCACCAAGTCCAGCAGTGAGTTGGATTAATGATGTTAAAGATAAAACCGTGATTACACATGAACCCATCAGACCTGTTCAAATGCTTTGTAAGCTCTTTTTTTCTCTGCTGTTGTGGTGTACAGGGAGTTGGCAGGTGTGTTTGCTCAGCTCTGCCAGCAGGTGGATGTTACCCGCCAGAACCTGCAGGATGAGATTTGTGATATGAACAGAAAGACTGAGCTACTACACAACCTGCAGAGCAAAGCCAAGCTACTTAGGTAAGAAACTCACTGGTGTGCTGTGGTAAATGCATGAGTATACTGTGAAATCACTGATATGAAAATAAAACTTTATCTTCCATCCATTCAAGAACAGTAAAGAGTGGAAAGATGGAGAACTTTATTAACCATTTGCTGTTGAAGTTCATTGGCAATTATTCACCATGATATTTTCCACTTTATTTGAACTAATTTACCTTTCTATTTCAAACCAGCCACTAGGGAACATCAGACAGTGTATCTCTTGCACCAGTCCCAAGCCCAGATAAATGATAAAGGTTGTGTCAGCAAGGGAATCCAGCATAAAACTCATATGCAATTTCATCCAAATTACAACTGTACAATATCAGTTGAGGCCCAGGTTCACCACCACCACCGATGCTGTTGACAAACAGGGTGCCATTGGAAATTGTGCTACTGTTAGTCAAAGACCACATGGAGGGAAACCAGGAGAGGACGAAACTCAAGAGTGTAGGATTACATCTGAACTCTAACTGTAGGGACGATGACAAGTAAAGATCGAGAGCTGACTGACATGATGCAGAGAAGGAAGGTAGATGTTTTGTGTGTACAAGGGACCAAGTGGAAGGGCAGCAAGGCTCGCAGTATTGGGGTAGGGTTTAAGTTGTTTTACCATGGTGTGGATTGAAAGAGAAATGGATTAGGGGTGGTCCTGAAGAGTCGGAGTCCGAGAGGTTTTGTTGTCATTTCAGCTACGTACAAGTACATATTGAAATGAAACTGTGTTCCCATAAAGTGCAAAACAAAACAACACACAGTGCAGATATGCAACAGTACAATAAATGCAAACAGATCTATAATAAATGCAAAAAGACATCTAACCTAACCTAAACAAGTAATAAACAAGACTAGAACCAGCCAGCAAGCAATCAAGCAAGCCAGCGAGCTCTGGGTGTGGAGCAGCAGGCGGCTCTACTCGGAGTCACTCCTGGATAACTGAATTTCTCATCCTATCTAATGGAGAGTTCAGTTACCCTGCGGCGAAAACTCATTTAGACCGTCTGTATCCACGAGCTTGTTCTTTCAGTCACTACCAGAGTTCCTGACCATAGGTGAGTGTAGGAATGTAGACGACCAGCTTCTCCTTACAGCTCAGCTCCCTCTTCACCACATTGGACCAGAATAGAGTTGACAATACTGCAGAAGCTGCACCGAACAATCTGTTGATTTGTCTTTCCAGTCTTCCTTCACTGTGAACAAAACCCTGAGTTACTTGAACTCATTAATTTATTGCAGCACCTCACTCTCAACCCAGAGAGGACAATCCATCCTTTTCTGACTGAGGACCATGGCCTCAGATTTGGAGGTGCTGATCTTCATGCCAGCCGCTTCACACTTGGCTCGGCTTCAGTGTTTGCTAGAGATCATGGCACGATAACGCCAACAGCACCACGTCATCTGCAAATAGACTATACCCGAGGCCACTGAACCAGACTCCCTCCACCCCTTGAGTGCAAAGAAATTTTGTCCATAAAAGTTATGATTGTCTTCCAATGGGAGGGTCGAGGGTTTGATTCCACCAGCAGTCATATCCTGAAGTGTCCCTGGGCAAGACACTGAACCCCTCATTGCCTCCGATGTGTCCCATCAGTGTATGAATGTGCTCAAAAAGCACTGATTAGTCTCTTTAGAATGATTTGTTTGGATTAGCGTTGTATAGCTGTAGTAGAGTGCTGTTTGTGTGCGTGGAGGTAAATGAGCGCACAGATGTTGTAAAGCTTGTTGAGTATCTTGATTAGATCGAAAGATGCTGCAGTCCATTTACCATTTGTCTGTGGTGACACATTTCCTCCTGAGATCCACTTGCTCGCTCTGCGTTCTCCTCGGTTTGTGCTCTCGCTCTGCTTCACAGTGAAAAGTGAGTTGTTTAAAGACTTTACCCAGCAGGTTTCAACTTTTAAAATTATAATGTGCTGTGACAGTTTGGGTGATAAGTTAGAAGATGACCACACGAGAGTTCTCTGTGACAGAGCTGTCTGTAGCTCATAATATCAGCCCAGAGATGGTTGAGCACATCTTATCAAAGGTTAGTCCTGGTTTTAAACCAAAGTGGCTTTGGTTTATTTTTGACCACAAACCGCTGACTTCCACTGTACCGTGTTCTGCTGTACAAACAGAAATTGCTCGTTCAGCCGCTCATCAGCACAAGTTGTTTTGATCTGATGTTCTGATTCAGTTCCTCTGTGAGTAGAGGTGAACTCTGTAAATATGGATTCTTGCCTTTCTGTGTGTTTGTTAGGAACAAGGCGGGCTGGTTGGACAGTGAGCTCAACATGTTCACCCAGAAGTACCTCCAACACAGCAAGTGACACATATGGACAACCCCAGCTGCACCGCTTGGATTGACCCAAGAGTTCATCCATGGCATTGTTCTGTTCAGAACAGGAACCTGGCAGTAAATTAGTGATTGTGATATTTGAATTCAGTCATTTCACGTGTCTGTCGCTCATTATACAGCTAAACCTAAATCCTGAATAAGCACGCCTCTATGTAAAAACTCAATGTATACTTGACTGAATTCAAAACTTAACAACCCCTTCTCGGTATCCCATAATGTTAAGACTTTGTTGATTATCTGAGCAGAAACCAGAAGATCCAGAGGCTGACTTTCTGGATCAGAACTTGAGGGTTTCTGCTAGAAACGCCACATTTTAGCTTAAAGTTACGTCAATATCACCACTTAAAAGTTATACGAGACAGAACACAACGAGAATAAATATGTTAATGAACTGAATAAATTTAAAAGTTATTTATTTACAAAGAAAGAGCATGTTTAAGTTGGTTTATGAAATAACAGCTAGCACATATTTTAGTTTTCACTATAAACACACAAACAGAAGAACTCATTAACTCTGAATTCTGTCAGTAAAGCTAAAACCTTTTGTTTAAATGTTTCAAAACATTTAAATATTTAAACTGGTTATTGTGTGTATCAGCCTTATGCCTACAGACTAATGCAGAGGCAAGTCAGAACTGTACTCTGATTTTACCTTTAGTCACGAGTGATAAAACAGATTAGTCATTGTGGGGAATTTTCTTGTAAAAATGTAAAATAAACCATTAAATTAATTCTGACTTGAATAAATCTCTTCCTCTGTCATCAGTAATGTTGTTTCTACCACACTACTGAAATATTCATGTGATTGTAAAGTTTTTGGCTGCACCGGGGTCACGTATTGTTTTTTTTTCTGACCGTTTTAATCTTGATTTGAGAAGTTTTCTCTGGCCTGAATGTTGGTCCTCAGCTTTTAGAAGATACTTCAAGGCGGCGTTCCATTAAACAGTTCAGTTTGCAGGTTTGATCTTTGCTTAACAGCATTGTGATTATGATATGGACTGTTATAATAGCAGCTATTATGGATAACATTTATTTTAACAGCATGTCTATATTAAAACTGCAGGGGGAGTGGTGGCGCAGAGTTTAGAGAAGGTGGGCCTGTGATCGGAACGTTGCCAGTTTGACTCCCTGAACTGACATCAAAATGTGGGTGAGAAAGGTGAAGCACGCTCCACCCTCATTTGTCCCACTCTGGGCCCCTGAACAAGGCCCTCAACCCTCACCATCTGATCCCCGGGACAAATCCATATTCAATCATATGCATTTAATCATATCCAGATGGGAAGGTTTGGTGTGAAGGAAAGAAACCAGGAAGGACATGGTTTTGGATTTTTCCAAGAGAATAGAAATGTCTGTATTCAACACTTGTTTCCAAAAGAGGGAGGACCGTAGAGTGACCTGTAAGAGTGGAGGCAGGAGTACACAGGTCGATTACATTTTGTGTAGAAGAGGAAACCCAAGGGAGATTGGGGATTGTAAGGATGTGGCAGGGGACAGCGTGTCCAAATGATATTGGATGGTTGTGAGTAGAATGACTTTTGTGAAGAAGAGAAAGAATAAAATCAGAGAAGAAGAACAAATGATGGAAGCTGAGGAAAGAATAATGTGAAGAGTTCAAAGAGGAGCTGTTAAAAGGCTCTGGAGGGTAAGAAAGCGCTTCCAAATGACTGGACTACTACAACAGTAGAGAGAGGTAGGAAGGTACTTGAGGAAGCCTCGTGGTGAAATGGTGAAGTGCAGGACGCTGTTCAAAGAAAGATTAGCCAAGAAATGATGACAGTGAGGAGAAGGGAAGACTGAAGAGAGTAGGCAAGAATATAAGAAAATGCATCGTTGAACAAAGAGGGGGGTAGACTAAGGCAAAGCAGAAGGCGTATGATGAGTTGTATGCTAGGCTGGACGCTAAAGAGGGCGAGAAGGACTTTTCTCGATTTTCAATCAGGTTGGAAAGGTTTTTGACTCAGATATTCAATAGCATATTTGGGGGTAAGAAATACTTGAGGAATGGAGCTGGTGCCCAATTTTAAGAACAAGAGTGATGTACAGAGTTGTCGCAACTACAGGGGAATTAAGTTGATGAAATGGAAGAAGCGATTAAAAGATATGTAGAAATGCAAGCACTTTTTCTGTTCTTGTAATAAAGTTCATTTGTAGTTTACGGTTTCTGTTTTATTACGAAATCATCCTAACTCAAAAAAAAAATTGTCAACAAAAACAAAATTGAGGCATTCGGTCTAAATTCCACAATGCCATCCAGAGAAAGTGGAAGACTGAAAAAAATATTCCTAAGATGCTCGGGTCCTAAAACCAAAACCTCTGTCTTGTTTGAGTTTAAAAGCAGAAAATTAATGGTCATCCAGGTTTTATATCTTTAAGACATGCTTGTAATCTAAGTGACTGGATTCATTGGGTTTCATGGACAAATACAATTGTGTATCATCAGCATAATTATGAAAATTTATCCCATGCTGTTCACCTGTAATAACTTTACCTAATGGAAGCACATATAAAGTAAAGAGTATTGGTCCAAGCACTGAACCCTGAGGAACTCCATGACTACTGGTAACTTTGGTGTTTGAAGAAGATTCATTATTTACATTTACAAACTGGACTCTTGTCAAATAAATACCGGTATGATTTAAGTCATTTTAGAGCCGTTCCTGTAATCCCAATATCAAATTCAAGCCTTGTAGTAAAATATTATCAGTTGTATCAAATGCAACACTGAGGTCTAACAGGACCAGTGTAGACACAAGTTCATTGTCTGAGGCCATGAGAATTAGAGTTCAGCCTTCTGCAGCCTCCAGATCCAAGATGGTGCCTAATCATCAACACCTGCAGGCCATCCCACTAATGAGGATCACCTCCTTTGGATCCTCTGGATGCTGGAGCACGATGCCTTATGGTATTTATGCTTCTGACCAAATTGTGTCTTAGTGAAACAATTATTAACGTACCTGTTTTCTCTTTGTGTTTCAGCCTACCTGTTCTCCTGAGTGCCTTCAGTGGTCCCCAACCACCAGGCCGCGGACCAGTACCGGGCCGTACAGAAGAAGAAAAAAAGTTGTATTTTGAAAAATCACCAGATTCTCTCCATCACATCTGTCAATGACTCACTCTTGACACAGGTCAACATACGCAAGTGGTTAGTTTCAATTTCTGTTTGGCGTGCATGCACAGATCGGTTCTACATTGCCCACGCTGGTGAGTAATTCAGCTGGGTGGTCTGGAGTAGACAGGAGTATGCGCGTGGCCGTATCTGTGCTTTTGAAGGATTACACTACATATTTTTCAACCTGCCTGACGAAGAGTGGCTGTAAAACTATAAATAAAACTATAATTTTAAACAAAGCTTCCTAATCTCACATCAGAGGTTCCCTTGAGGTTAAGAACATATTTGTTATATGAACAAACCATCATTGGGATTGTGTAAGGAAACTCAGTTCTCAAACCTTAGGTTCACCAAAATATTGAATAAATATAGAATAAATGATTAGTCTTCAAATGGGCCAGTAAAATCTGATTTAAAAAAAAAAATGTTCTGCTTTAGTCGGCTCCTCGACCCACCTGTCAATCAATCCAGAGGCATGTTAGCAACTGCAATCAGCGACATCAATATTGTCCTGAAGTGAACGCCCCTTACCTGCAGAGCTGCAGTGGTTTTGCATTACGAACACTTTGTAGTCATAGAAGGTTCAGTGAGTTTACATCTTTTCTTTCATGTTAATCTACTGCCTTTGTAAAATACATCAGAATGCAGGAAATGACATCTTACTTTATTCAAAATTCTCTAAGGGAGAAAGAAACAAAATATTACATTTAGATTCCCCAACCTCCAAGAGAATACATACCTGATCACTCTTCTTGCTCCTCAGGGCTTCATTGTACATTTAATATTGCACTTGTAAATAAACACTGTTTAATCTTTTACGGTCTGGAGTCTTGTCTCGTCCTGGTCTTACTATGTGGGCTCCCCAAGTCATAACAAGAATATCATTAGTAACTTACACCAGTGCTATGATGAGCTCTAAACCCTTATTGAAACTCCTCAAACAGATTATTTCTTTGCAGATGTTCATGCAATTGACCAGCAACTATTTTCACTAGAATTTTTTAGATGAACGTTAGACTATATATATAGGTCTATAATTGGCCAGAATTCCTGAATCAAGATTAGGTTTGTAAAGGTTTAATTACAGCAACCTTAAAATGCTGTGTTACGTAACCATTCATTAGAGACAGATTAATCAGATCCAAAATGTGTATATTAATTAGGGAAAATACCTCTTTAAACAGTCTGGTTGGGAGGGGATCTAGGAGAC